CCCCAGCTCCTACAGGTGGGGGCTAGAGGGGGGGCGGGGTCGAGTGGATTCAGCCACCAGACCCCCTATAGGTAAGGCCTGTATCCTCTGGGGGGGGGCGGGGGGGCCCTGCTCCCAGCCCACGGTTGTCTAGGGCATCTTTCTCTGGATGCTGCACGCAGCCTCCTTAATGCAGCCTCCCAGCTACCAAAAGTGGAAACAGAAGCAGAAAATTGATGATCGTGACTCAGAAGAAGAAGGGACATTTGACCGGCGTGGCCCAGAGCGAAGAGGTGGTAAGCGCGGCCGAGGGCAAGGTGAGAGCCGGGGTGGGATCGTCCTTAAAACGCAGGTTGCCAAGTAGCACATTTGGTCATCTTGGGGGCTTGGTCCTCTTGATCTGGCCTGGGTCCCTCAGTGGGTGACACGCTAAGGTGGGATTTGAACTCGGCTCTGCTGCAGGAGCTTGTGCTCAGTGACCTTGGCTTGGGCCGGCTGCCCCACGTGCCAGGACCTCGGTCAGCCCCTCAGGGCAGAGGAGCACCTTGGGAGTGGTGACACTCGTGACTCTGAAGGGAGGAGACTGGAGCCTGGGCCCCGTTCCACTGCAGCCCCACCTTTGGGGCCGAGCTTGCTGTCAGAGAGGGGCTCCCGCTTGCTGTCTGGGGCCAGGCTGTGTGCTGGAGCCTCGCCGCACATGACCTGGGGGCAAGAAGACTGAGAATGGCCGGCTTTCAGGCCAGGAAACAAGTCGCAGTGACTGGCCCTGGGTCCCCCGGCTGCCTGCTGCCTCCCCCGGCCCCCGCCGTCAGGGTTGGGGAGCTTGAACCTGTCCTGGGCCTCTTTCCGCTGGGCCCTGGCCCTGCTTGTCTCCCCCGAGCCCGCAGGGCTGCTCACGGCCTCTTCAGCATCCGAGTCTGTGTCCTTCAGCCTGGGGACGCTGTCTGTCACGGCCCCAGGCGCCCCTCTGCTCTGCCTCACCCAGGGCCTCCTCTGTTCTCTGCACGTTCCCTCTGTCCTTGTTGACATTTCCTCTCTGACGGTGGATACCTCTTCTGTTTCTCCCTGTTTCTGTCTTGGATTTTCTCCGACGCATCCTCTCTCTGTTGTTCTGTAGGTGTCTTTCTCTCCAGGTCTCTGTTTCTCTTTCTGCCTCTGACTCTGTGTCCCTGTCCATCTCTCTGTCTCTGTTTTTCCCCATCTGTCTCTGTCTTTCTGTATCTCCATCTCTCTCATTGTTCCTGTTCCTTTCTCTCCACACACACGCACACGCACACACGTGTGCACACACACACACCCCTCCCAGTCTCTGTCTCTCCTCTCTTTGTCTTTCTGTGGGCGTGTCCCTGCCTCCCCCGGACCCCCTCATCCTTCAGTCCTCAGCTCCCAATTTTATCTGGAGTGAAGCCGGCTGCCGCTGTGAGCTTGCTGGACCTGGGGTGGTGAGGGTGGCCTGTGAGCTTCGGGAAAAAGCAGCTGTTCTCCCCCTGTGCTTTGTCCTCACTGGGGCTGGTGGGTCCCTGTCAGGTGGCCTGGCCCCCGTGGAGACATCTGGGGCCGCCTTAATGGCCATCTGTGTGGGAGCCCTGCAGGGCCACTGCTGTGGGAGGGGAGGAGCTGGGTGAGGCAGGTGAGTACAGAAGAGGAGGGGCCAGGCCTTAGTGGGGAGCCAGGGGCTGGGGGGAGACCTGCCCGCCCAGAGAGCCGGGAGGTGGCGGGTGGGGCCGCCAACCACTGCTGCTGCTGCTGGTGCCACTTTGCTGGGTGACCTTGGATAAGTCCCTTCCCCTCGCTGGCCTTCTCTGATTTCTCTCCTGCCAGAGGGAGGTTAAGCTACAGCCTGTTTTCATCGAACAAGCCTAGAGCATGGAGTCCAGAGAGACAGGGTTTGGAGTCTGTCTGGGTCCCCAGTGCCTGGCATAGAGGAGGCACTGAAAAGCCTTTGTTGAATGATTTATGATTGTAATAGTTACACTTAGGAGGCCATACTGTGGGCTAGGCCTTGTTCTGAACCCTGCACACATAGTAACCCATTTACTCCACATTAGGACTTATGAGGTAGGTGCTCTTATTCGTAATTCATAGGAGAGGAAACTGAGGCACAGAGAAGTAAAGTAGTTTGCCCAGGGTCCAAGAGGTCACAGCTGGGACTTGATCCCTCGCAGTTTAGGCTAGAGGGTCCATGCTATTGCCCATACAGTAGACTACTTAAGCTTTATTAAGCAATTACCATCCGCCACATGTTGGGGCCACAACAGTGAACACAGAATGAGAGCAGGGACAGGGGAGCATCCCGGAGGCTCCTGGGAGGAGGAAACATTGGGAGTCGACCCAGAGCCTGAACTCCCTGAATCTCCATCCTGGCAGGTGCATCCCAGCCCCGCACCTCTGGTGCCCCCACAGGCCACGTGCGCTCAGAGCTCAAGACCAAGCAGCAGATCCTGAAGCAGCGGTGCCGAGCCCAGAAGCTGCGCTTCCTGCAGCGTGGAGGCCTCAAGCAGCTCTCTGCCCGCAACCGGCGCCATGCCCGGGAGCTGCAGCAGGGCGCCTTCGGCCGGGGCACCCGCTCCAAGAAGGGCAAGATGAGGAAGAGCCTGTAAGGAAGGTGATACAGCCCCGTGGTTCCTCACCTGGTCCAAGCGTGGACATAAGCAATGTTCCCTGTGTAACACTGTGTGCCTGGCCCTGAGCTGGATGCTGGGGGGCTCCCTGTAGAAGCCGTGGTCCGTGCAAAGGAGTGCTTGCTATAACGGCCGCAAAGGGGCAGCAGCTGCCTCTGCCTAAGACAGGGCACGTTTGAGCAGGGTGTTGAAGGGTTCATAGGAGTTTGCCAGCAAGGCCAGGCAGGCCACGACCTGAGTTGGCAACTCGGCTGCTGCTGCTGTGTTCTGGATTCAGAGGTGGTAGCCACATGGGTGTGAACCCTGAGTGCCTGAGGCCTAGTGATGTATTTTTAATGTAATAAACCTTTATTGAGTGCCTCCAGTGGACCAGGAGCATTGAGTTGGAAGGGACAGACCCGGGTACTAGAGTCCCAGCTAGGGTGCGGATGAGCCGAGAGCATGTGGGCAAGTCCCGAGTGGATTCTGCTGGAATCTCCATTTTGCAGATGAGGAAAGTCAGGCTCAGAGGATGGGTCGGTTGCTCAGATGGGAACGCCCCAAAGCTGGCAGTAGGTCCCCTTCCTCCCACCAGGACAGGCTTGCAGCTGGGACTGGACGGTGGGAGGGAGACAGCACATAGAGTCTGGGGGCAGAGGGTGCGGTGCGCTCCCCAGATGTGAAGGAGTTCACACTATCCCCACACACCCAGAGGTCAAAACCTGTCCTGGCCTCTGTCCTGCTTTAAGCCCTGTGCTCCTCAGCCCTTGTTGGGGGTCCTGGGAAGGTCAAGGGCAGCCTCTGGTAGCTCCGGTAGAATGGCCATCACTCAGCGCCAGTCCACGACGGAGGAGCCTTTGTGAGCAAGCGCCCCGGGAATGGGTGTCTGCCGTGTGACCCTCTTGCTGGTCCTCCTTTATTTTACTTTACTTACCAAACACTCATCTAGAATTTACCAGAAATTTTGTGCCAGGCCCCATTCCAAGCATCTGACAAACATCAGCTTGTTTAAATGCCCCCAACTGGGGACCTCCCTGGTGGTGCAGTGGTTAAGAATCCGCCTGCCAATGCAGGGGACATGGGTTTGATCCCTGGTCCAGGAAGATCCCACATGCCGCAGAGCAACTGAGCCTGTGTGCCACAACTACCAAGCCCGGGCTCTAGAGTCCGTGAGCCACAACTACTGAAGCCCACGTGCCACAACTACTGAAGCTCGTCCACCTAGAGCCCGTGCTCCACAACAAGAGAAGCCACTGCAATGAGAAGCCTGCATACCGCAACGAAGAGTAGCCCCTGCTCGCCACGACTAGAGAAAGCCTATGCAGCAACAAAGACCCAACGCAGCCAGAAATAAATAAGTAAATAAATTTTTTAAGAGGAAAAAAAAAAATCCCCCATCTGCCCTGGGTGGGAGGGCCAGGTCCCAGGTCACATGGTGGATGTGAGATTGGTGCCCTCCATGTAGCCCACATTCATGTAGTAGTTGCTTGTGCCCCTCATGCCCACCCCACTGCAATCTGAGAGGGCACAGCCCTCCTGTCTTTCTGGTGAGAGCCACTCAGCCTGTACCCCGCAGGAACTGTGTACCTCCTGGGGGCCCCTCCCCCACTGCTCACCTGGGTCAGGGTCAGGAGGCGGGGCTGGTGGGCTCGGCCTGATGGAGGCCAGCCAGCATGGTGGAGAGGTCCAGGATGAAGAGCTTCACCTGGGGGTTCCAACACAGCCAGAGTCAAATCCCAGCCTCTTGAGTGTCCAGTCCCCACCCCCCCAAAACCCCAGAGGCTGCAAAGCAGGGGTGGGGGGTAGAGACCCTTATTAGACAGCAATGATGGTGGTTCCCTGGGGCAGTGAACCTGGCCTAAACCATTCAGTTTTTTTTTGTTTTTTGTTTTTGTTTTTGTTTTTTTTGGTGGTACACGGGCCTCTGACTGTTGTGGCCTCTCCTGTTGCGGAGCACAGGCTCCGGACGCGCAGGCTCAGCGGCCATGGCTCACGGGCCCAGCCGCTCCGCGGCACGTGGGATCTTCCCGGACCGGGGCACGAACCCGCGTCCCCTGCATCGGCAGGCGGACTCCCAACCACTGTGCCAGCAGGGAAGCCCCCATTCTGGGTTTTTGAAGCCTCAGTCCAAGCTTCCCAAACAGTTGATTTGTGGGCACCTTCAGTTTTCTAGATGGCTATCACCTGTATTATAGTTGAATTAGTATTTTCACTTGCATCTTTTTTTTTTTCCTTTTAATTGGATTAGTTGTGTTCACTGGTATACTCCATGGGGCACCCTCCTTTATTTTAATTAACCTATTTATTGATACAAACTTAATGAACACCCACGGATCCACTGCCAAGACCTAGAACTTGATGGCAAACTTATCCTTGGGCTCTTCCTTCACATTTGTCACCGAAATAAACATCTGACAAGGAAACTATATCTCTACCAAAAGTGAAAAGAGATTAAATTACTCCTTGCCGTAAGTAAGGGGTAACTGGAAAAATAAAATGAAAATGAAACCTGGTTACTCAATTCTGGCAGCTACCGTTACCCACAGAGGGTGTGAGCCCCCAGGCCCTGGAGACCAGGGAGTATTATGAGGTTAAAGGCATAGTTGCTGCTCCCCCAACCCCCTGCCATTGAACCTTTCTCCTTGGTAAGATCAGATGGTTGGTTGAAAAAGCACTGGCTTTCCATCTCTCTGATACCAAAACCAGAAAAAGATAGCACAAAAAATATTATAGACCAATATCACTGATGAACATAGATGCAAAAATCTTGAACAAAATACTAGCAAACAGAATCCAACAGCACATTAAAAGGATCATACACCATGATCAAGAGGGATTTACCCCAGGGATGCAAGGATTCTTCAATATACACAAATCAATCAATGTGATACACCACATTAACAAATTAAGGAATAAAAACCATATGATCCTCTCAATAGATACAGAAAAAGCTTTTGACAAAATTCAACACCCATTTATGATAAAAACTCTCCAGAAAGTGGGCATAGAGGGAACCTACCTCAACATAATAAAGGCCATATATGACAAACCCACAGCAAGCATCATACTCAATGGTGAAAAAGCATTTCCACTAAGATCAGGAACAAGACAAGACTGTCCACTTTCACCACTCTTATTCAACATAGTTTTTGAAGTCCTAGTCACAGCAATCAGAGAAGAAAAGGAAATAAAAGGAATACAAATTGGAAAAGAAGAAGTAAAACCGTCACTTTGCTGATGACATGATACTATACATAGAATATCCTAAAGATGCCACCAGAAAACTACTGGAGCTAATCAATGAATTTGGTAAGGTTGCAGAATACAAAATTAATGCACAGAAATCTCTGGCATTCCCATACACCAACAACAAAAAATCAGAAAGAGAAGTTAAGGAAACATTCCCATTTACCATTGCAGCAAAAAGAATAAAATACCTAGGAATAAACCTGCCTAAGGAGGTGAAAGACTTGTACTCAGAAAACTATAAAACACTGATGAAAGAAATCAAAGATGACATAAACAGATGGAGAAATATACCATGTTCTTGGATTGGAAGAATCAATATTGTGAAAATGACTATACTGCCCAAAGCAATCTACAGATTCAATGCAATCCCTAGCAAACTACCAATTACATCCTTCACAGAATTAGAACAAAAATTTTACAATTCGTATGGAAAGACGAAAGACCCCGAATAGCCAAAGCAATCTTGGGAAAGGAAAACGGAAGTTGGAGGAATCAGGCTCCCCAACTTCAAACTATACCACAAAGCTACAGTAATCAAGACAGTATGGTACTGGCACAAAAACAGAAATATAGCTCAATGGTACAGGATAGAACGCCCAGAGATAAATCCACGCACATATGGGCACCTAATTTATGACAAATTACAAGAACATACAGCAGAGAAAAGACAGCCTCTTCGACAAATGGTGCTGGGAAAACTTGGACAGCTACATGTAAAAGAATGAAATTAGAACACTACCTAACACCATAAACAAAAATAAACTCCAAATGGATTAAAGACTTAAATGTAAGACCAGACACTATAAAACTCTTAGAGGAAAACATAGGAAAAACACTTTGACATAAACCACAGCAAGATCTTTTTTGACCCACCTCCTAGAGTAACGGAAATAAAAACAAAAATAAACAAATGGGACTTAATTAAACTTAAGAGCTTTTGCACAGCAAAGGAAACCATAAACAAGACAAAAAGACAATCCTCAGAATGGGAGAAAATATTTGCAAATGAAACAATAGACAAAGGATTAATCTCCAAAATATACAAACAGCACATGGAGCTCAATATCAAAAAAAACAATCCAGTTAAAAAATGGGCAGAAGACCTGAATAGACATTTCACCAAGGAGGACATACATGAAAAGATGCTCAACATCACTAATTATTAGAGAAATGCAAATCAAAACTACAATGAGATCCCCTCACGCCAGTCAGAATAGCCATTATCAAAAAATCTAGAAACAATAAATGCTGGAGGGCTTCCCTGGTGGCGCAGTGGTTGAGAGTCCGTCTGCTGATGCAGGGGACATGGGTTCGTGCCCCGGTCCAGGAAGATCCCACATGCCACGGAGCCGCTGGGCCTGTGAGCCATGGCTGCTGAGCCTGCACGTCGAGAGTCTGTGCTCTGCAATGGGAGAGGCCACAACAGTGAGAGGCCCGTGTACGGGCTGGAAAATGCTGGAAAGGGTGTGGTGAAAAGGGAACCCTCCTGCACTGTTGGTGGGAATGTAAATTGATACAGCCACTATGGAAAACAGTATGGAGGTTCCTTAAAAAACTAAAAATACAACTACCATATGACCCAGCAATCCCACTACTGGGCATATACCCTGAGAAAACCACATTCAAAAAGTCCTGTGCCACAGTGTTCACTGCAGCACTATTTACAATAGCCAGGACATGGAACCAACCTAAATGTCCATCAACAGATGAATGGATAAAGAAGATGTGGCACATACATACAATGGAATATTACTCAGCCATAAAAAGAAACGAAATTGAGTTATTTGTAGTGAGGTGGATGGACCTAGAGACTGTCATACAGAGTGAAGTAAGTCAGAAAAAGAAATGCCATATGCTAATGGATATATATGGAATCTAAAAAAAAAAAAAAAGGTACTGATGAACCTAGTTGCAAGGCAGGAATAAAGAGGTAGACATAGAAAATGGACTTGAGGACATGGGGTGGGAGGGCGAAGCTGGGGCGAAGTGAGAGTAGCATCGACATATACACACTACGGAATGTAAAATAGTTGGCTGGTGGGAAGCAGCAGCATAGCACAGGGAAATCCGTGCTTTGCGATGACCTAGAGGGTTGGGATAGGGAGGATGGGAGGGAGGCTCAAGAAAGAGGGGATATGGGGACTTGATATGTATGCATATGGCTGATTCGCTTTGTTGTGCAACAGAAACTAACACAGTATTGCAGTTATACTCCAATTATACTCCAATAAAGCAATTATACTCCAATAAAGATTATACTCCAATAAAGCAGTTATACTCCATAAAGCTCTATTAAAGTAAAATAAGATAAAAAGGACTGGCTTTTGCCTGTTGCTTCATATCGAGCCTCTGTCCCTCCTAGAGTCGTCTTTTGTACCTTGGGGTACCCGGGCAACACTTGAGAGAACAGTGGTGTACATATGAATCCACCCGACTCAGGATGTGGCACAAAGGTAGGCTCTGGGGACCCAGTTCTTGGCATTTGGTTGGAATTCTGGCTGCAGGACAGGAGTGGGATGGGATGGGGCAAAGGCGGGGGTGTTTCCTCCACTTCTCAAAGGGGCCATGCTTTGGGAACCCACTAGAATCAACAGAAGTGTCCAAAGTCAGAAACCCCCTGCCTCTGTTGTAAACCATGTCACATGTTCTACCACCTTGCAAACCCGAGTGAATAGAAAAGCCGGGCATACTTGGTACACAATGACATTGGTAATGCCATCGTGCAGAAAGAAAAACCACTGTACAACGCTGCCCTCACACTTCCCAGGGAAGCCAAGGCTCGACTATGCGGGAGCCACAGAGGGTGAGGGACTAATTAAAAGTGAGTCTCCATCTCCTGGTTTCTTATCGATGTCACGTTTGTGCTTTTGATCCTGAGACAGAAGAACTCTTGGCATAACTGTATTGTACCCATCAGTATATACCCCGGCCTCCTGCACAGTGAGGGCACTGAGACCCAGAGAGGATCTTCTGACCTCATAGCAGGTGACCAGCAGAGCCAAGACCAAACCAGGGCTCCGGGCTGGGGGCTAGGCGGCCACGGAGCTAGGAGACTGGGATCTGATCGCAGAGGGTCATGCTTAACCCAGAGAAGGTGGGATTTCAGGCACCATGATGTTCCCAACCCTTAGGGGGCTGGAGGTGACATAAAGAGAGATCCTCACCTGCTCCAGCTGCCCCTCGGTGTCCTTGATGTCCAGGGCAGGTGGCCGCCTCTGGTGCTGGCACACTAGCTGGAACAGGTTGAGTGCTGCCATCCTGGTGCGTCCCAGGAGCAGGGTCTTCTCAGCCCCGGTGTTCTGGATCTGAATACACTTGGATTCCTGGAGAACACCGCCCCCTTCCCCATTAAGGTGTGAGCTGGCCTGAGGAGGGCTGGGACCACATTCGCGTCCACTTCCCACCAGTCATCGATGCCCCTAGGTGCTATCAGGGAGAGGAGTGCTGGACTCGGGTGTCAAGTTCTCATAGGAAGGGCCTCCTGCGCCCTAAAGTGCTTTCCGATGCCTGAAACCTGCCCATGAGCGTAGCGTTGCCCCATATGGCACTCCTCCCGGCGGTGGGAGGCTGGGGTCCCGGGCGCCCACCTCCTCCCGGCGACGGTACCCAGTGCAGCGTGCGCTCCCGCGCCGCCTCCAGTTGCTCCAGCAGTTGCGCTCGCCGCTGGCCCTGCCGCAGCAGCTCGTCCTGCCAGGTGTCCCGCAGCCGCCGCAGCCGCGCGCGCGCCTCCTCCAGCTCCGCGAGCCGCTGGCGCTCCGTGAGCCTCAGCGCCGCCTGCGTGTCGGTCAGGCAGTCGAAGCGCGCCACCAGCTCGGGGACCTCTTGGAACTGGGATGGGGTCGGGAGGGGGAGTCACCGGGACTGCAGCCCCCCTGCCCTTCCTCGCCTTACCACCCCCCGCACCTCCTCAGCCCAACTGTGAAATGGGGGCATCACACAGCCCCTGCCCCAGAAGTGTGATTACTCCGGCCCCTCCCCACCTCCACCATCAAACCTAGCTAAGCTTCACTGCCTGTGATTAATACTAAGTCACTGTTTCATTCAACTAATACTGAGTGTTTGGATTCCCCGTCCCCCCACCTGCCTGTGTGTCCTTGAGTAAGTTATCTTTCTGAGCCTCAGTTGCCCCATCTGTAAAATGGGATTGGCAATAAGAAGACTCACTTCACTGGACCTTGGAGAGAATTCAAGAACAAAGCGTGTTCCTGACATACAGTTAGTGCTCAATAAGTGGTAACTCCTGGCATACAGTCAGCGCTCCAGTAGTGCACACTTCCAGAGCCGTCCCTGAGGCTGCCTGGGGCTGCACGTGGCGCTGAACACCAAAACCTCTTGCAGGGCGCTCACCTCGGGCAGCTGCTCCAGTACTTGCCCCAGCAGGCGCGCGCAAGGCTCGAGGCGCCAAAGCAGGCGCTGCAGCCGCGCGCGCTCCCGCTGCAGCTCCTCCAGCTGAGCCCGAAGCCGCAGCGCCTCCGCCTCCCGGCGGCCCGCCAGTTGCCGCTCCTCCGCCGCCCTCCGCAGTGCGCGGCTGCGCCGGGCCTCCGCATCCTGGGAAGGAGGGGTGGAGAGGAGGCGACGACCCCCAGGACTTGGGAGCCTGCGGAGCTTGCCGCATCCACTCCACCCCAACATTCGCACCCTGAGTCACGGGTTGCAAACAGGTGGCCCACGGGCCAAATCCAGCCAGAATCTCTGATTTTGGTCCCTCACTCCTCTCCCACGCTTTTTAAAATGCTTCAGGCAGTAGTGTGTATTTCCCACCACTCCCTTTTATATTGGTAAGCCCACTTTTTAAGTTTATGTCTGGCTCCTTTAGGATTGTGACTTTGTGACCCTCTGCCCTGCCTCCCCCCAGCAGGCTCCACCTACCTGCAAAAACTTTTCAAAGCGGACAAAGGACCCCTTTAACTCCTGCTCTTTCTGTTCCAATTGTTCCCACCGCTGTTTCAGGGATGCCTGCATAGTCTGGAACACCTGGGGGGTAAGGAGTGGGTGTCTGTGTTTGTTTGGGGTTTCAAGTCATCCAGAGCTTTCACACTCACACTTAACCTCGCTCACCTTTTGCCCTTAATCTTTTTTTTTTTTTTTTGGCTGCACCTTGAGGCATGTGGCATCTTAGTTCCCATGCCCCCTGCAGTGGAAGCACGGAGTCCTAACCACTGGACCACCAGGGAAGTCCCTTTTGCCCTTAATCTTGTCACTGCACCCTTGCTCAAATCCACCCGTGGCTCTCACCACCCACGATGAAGCCCAAATTCCCTCCTGTAGCCCCTGCGTGTCAGCATCCCTGCTCTTCCTTGGGGCCTCATCTTACCCTCTCTCCTCTGATACTGTCTTCTAGCCTCTTACCCACCTGTGTTTTGTCCTTGCCTTCCTGTCTTTGTATATGCTGCTCCCTCTGCCTGTTTCTCCCTCCTCACCCTGTCCCCCTTTGCTGGATAAGCCGACTTGCCCTTCAGCATTCCCTAAGACATCACTTCCTCCAGGAAGTCCTCCATGACCACCCCTGTGTAGAGATAGGGGCTTTCTCTGGGCTCCCACAGCCCCTGCTCAGTGCTTCCCCCCTCACAGCCATCACCACCTGGACACTTGTCTGTCCCCTTCTCTAAGCTGTGAGCCCATGAGGGCAGGGACTGTGGTGAGACCTCTAGATCCCAGTACAGTGCCCTGCATGCAGTAGCTGCTCAATGCACATTTACTTGCACAAACCACGGATCTCATTTGATCCCCATTTGACAGACGAGGAAACCAAGGCTTAGGACGGTGATTTGTCTTAGGCCTTGTAGTAATAAGTTATCTCCATCACTTTCCCATCTTTTTCTTCCCATCTTTTTAAAACTTTTTGTCCCCAAAAGTTTCAGGGACTGCACTGAGTGGCTCACCTCCTTCTGGGCCTGAAGGCCCTGGTCCGCATCCACCAGTTCCTGCCTCTTCTCCAAGAGACGCAGCAGTGGCGGTGGGACGTGGTCCACATTCTGCCCCTGGATCTTCCTGGAGGGGCTCAAGGAAGAGGTGAGGGTGAAGGAGGCAAGAGTCAGGGCCCCCAAACTCCCCACTGGTGCCTGACATACCCCAACTAGCCACCTCCCGGCTGTTGAATTTTTCATTCATTCAACAAATTGTCCCGAGCACCTACTCTGTACCACACACTGTTCTGGGCACTGGGGATGCAGCCCTGATCAAGACAGACAGATCCCTGCCCTCCAGGAGCTGCCATCCCGCTGGGGACCACAGAAAAAAAGCTAGCAAATAATAATAAATAATGCTAGGACATGGCAGGTGCTAAGATGAAAAATTCAGCAGACTGAAGGAAATCTCTCAACAGGGAGATAGAAAAGTCTCTGTGGGGGGACATCTGAGCAGAAACTTGAAGGGGAAGAGGGAGGGAGCCACGTGGATACCGCAGGGAACAGATTCTAGGCTGAGGGAGTGGCCGATGCCAAACCCCAAGGGAAGGAGATGCCAGGAGGCCAGTGCAGTTGGAGGGGAGGAAGGAGCAGAGAGCTGGGAACTGAGACCAGGGAAGTTGTGAGGGTGACTGCGGTGGGCCGTGATGAGGGGGGACTTTGGCCTTGACTGTGAGTGAGGTGGGAGGCCTGGGAGTGTTTGGAGCAGAGGAGGGAACCCCCTCTGGCTCCTGTGGGGAGCAAGGACAACAGGAGGGGCAGGGCAGCTGCAGGAGACCAGGGACGGGTCACAGGATAATGCGGAGAGGATGGGGCTCTGATCTGGGTGGGTGCAGTAGAGAGGTAAGGAGGGGTCGGCTCTGGATACCACTGGAGAGCAGAGCTGATGGGGTGACGAGAGGGGGAGAAAGGAGTCGAAGGGGAACCTAGATGCTGGAAGGATGTTGCTGATAGTGGGCTGAGTGGGAAGCAGGGAAATCAGCTCTTCGCTAAGGCCAAGTTGAGACTGAGCTGCCTATTGACCTCTGAGGGAAGGATCCAGGGGGAGGCTGGGATCTGGAGCCAGGCTCACAGGGGAGAGGCGGGGCTGGACACAGCTCCGCAGTGTCGGCTGTGTAGGGAGCAGAAGGGATGCACTGCCATTCCACTAGGCAATGCTCTCCCAGCTCTGGTCCAGGGGAAACCCTCCCATTTTACTGATTCTGCGACTGAAGATGGGACCCCCGGCCACACTGCTGAAACAAGGCAGGCACCGGACAAGCTTCCTCCACCCCTCCTTTAAAATGCAGTTCGCAGTGAGAGGGGGCAAGAGCTCGAAGAATAATTCCTTCCCACCTTGGATCAAATGATATAATCTCAGCTGGATATCAACTAGGGATGGGGATCGTGAACAGGTTAGAGACCTGGGCCATTGACCCAGCTCTGCCCTAACTACCCCTGAGACCTTGCGGAAATTGCCATTTCCTTCGGGGCTTCAGTTTCTTCCTCTATGAAGTGGGGGCAATAATCCCCCACCAAGAACTGCCCGAGGAAGCCAGAACCCACGGGTAGGGGGAAGGCCCTCCTTTCAGCCCCCTCTGCCACTCCACGCCACTCCCACTCACGTAGACAGTTTCTCTTGCAAGGCCAGTCGGAAATATTTCTCCCAGGGCACTGCCATTCTCCTGGCAATTGCCTGAGGCTTGCTTTCTTTCTGGAGTTTTGCACTAGCCTAGAGGAGGCCCCGGAGGGTTCTGATGGAGGGTTTGCCTGCTCAGTATTCCCGGAAGGCAGCCACCCAGACAGCCTCGGTCGCCTGGGCAACCAACGACACAACATTCCATTGCCTGCCTGAGGCCTGGAGAATCCACCCGGAGAGGAAGAGAGAGGGGGCTGCAGGGAGGGTAGCATATTCTGCCCGTTCTGGAGGAGGCTTGAACTCCCAACCTAAATTGGGGTGCAGTGAATAGGACGTGGGTCTCTTGGCCAAGAATTTGCCCCTCGGTGCCCCATGTCTGGTCAAGCCTCTTCCTGGATGGGTGGGATGGGGCCTCACTAATGTGGCTGTGTGCTCAGATGTCTGTTCAAATGAGTAATTATTGGGCACCCACTGTTTGCCAGGTCCTTGGGGGGCAGGCATTCACTCCCTGGCAAGGTGCTGAGGTCCTACTATGTTCCAGCCCTTTGATGGTGCACTCCCATTGCTGGCTACCCTAGCCTTGTCTCACGGAGCCCCCAGCCTGGTTAGGGGCCATCAGCACTACCCTGTGGAAACCAGCTTGGAGGGACCCAGAATCTGCATTTGGAGGATGGGGGGTAGGGGAGGAGGTGACATAGTTTGCGCAATTACAGTGGGTCAGACACTGCCCTGAGTACTCTACTTACGGTATCTAATTTAATCTTTAAAACAGCACTGCCGGGAGTGGTAATAGGGAAAAGTACCCAGAGTAATATTACAAATACTCATGTGTCCGCCAAGTGGAAATAACAAACACGAGCGTCTTGTCCTCTTTGCTTCCAAGCGTCTTATTTTTCCTTTTTAAATAATTTGTTTTTTCATGTAAGGAAATGTATTTTATTTTTGTAGAGTAACACTATTAAAAAAAAACTTTTATTGAGGTATAATTGATTTATACTGTTGTGTTAATTTTTCTGTACAGCAAAGTGATTCAGTTATATATGATTCAGTTGTACATATATATGTGTTCTTTTTCATATTCTTTTCCATTATGGTTTATCACAGGATATTGAATATAGTTCCCTGTGGTAGGGGAACAAAGTAGGACTTTGTTGTTTTTCCATTCTATATATAATAGTTTGCATCTGCTAATCCCAAACTTCCAATCCATCCCTCCCCTAACCCCCTCCCCTTTGGCAACCATAAGTCTGTTCTCTATATCTGTGGGTCTGTTTCTGTTTCGTAGATAAGTTCATTTGTGTCATATTTTAGATTCCACATATATGTGATATCATATGGTATTTGTCTTTCCCTTTCTGACTTATTTCACTTAGTGTGATAATCTCTACGTTCATCCATGTTGCTGCAAATGGCATTATTTCATTCTTTTTTATGGCTGAGTAGTATTCCACTGTATATATGTACACCACATCTTCTTTATCCATTGATCTGCTGATGAACATTTAGGTTGTTTCCATGTCTTGACTATTGTAAATAGTGCTGCTATGAACACTGGAGTGCATGTATTTTTCAAATTAGAGTTTTGTCCAGATATATGCCCAGGAGTAGAATTGCTGGATCATTTGGTAACTCTATTTTCAGTTTTTTGAGGACTCTCCATACTGTTTTCCATAGTGACTGCACCAATTTACGTTCCTACCAACAGTGTAGGAGGGTTCCCTCTTCTCCAGACCCTCTCCAGCGTTTGTTTGTTTGTTTTTTCCATAAATTTATTTTATTTATTTATTTATTTATTTATTTACTTTTGGCTGCATTGGGTCTTCATTGCTGCGTGTGGCCTTTCTCTAGTTGCAGCGAGCAGGGGCTACTCTTCATTGTGGCACACGAGCTTCTCATTGCGGTGGCTTCTCTTGTTGCAGAGCACGGGCTCTAGGCATGCAGGCTTCAGTAGTTGTGGCACGTGGGCTCAGTAGTTGTGGCTTGTGGGCTCTAGAGCGCAGGCTCAGTAGTTGTGGTGCATGGGCTTCGTTGCTCCGCGGCTTGTGGGAATCTTCCCGAATCAGGGCTCGAACCCGTGTCCCCTGCCTTGGCAGGCTGATTCCCAACCACTGTGCCATCAGGGAAGCCCCCAGCCTTTGTTACTTGTAGACTTTTTAAATGGCCATTCTGACTGGTGTAAGGGGGTTAGAGTAACAGTGTTTTAAAAATACTATAGTTACTGTAATGCCTACATCGTTTAAAACACCCCCAAACATTTTGTTAGAGCATATTAAAAAAAAGAAAGATGGAGCTAAAATAATGTACATTTTGTCTTTGAGCATTTTGCATTAAGTCGTACATACTATTTTTCTGCATAAATTGATGCAAAGTTACAAGATTCATGATCTAAGTTTTCTTGATTTAAAAAATACTGAGGTAGAATTCGCATAGAGTAAAATTCATTTTTTTCCACATGCACTTCTATGGGTTTTAGCAAATGCGTAAAGTCGTGTAACCATCATAGTTAAGATGCAAAATATTTCCATCACCCCAAAAAGTCCTCATGTCCCTTTGTAATCAACCCTTGTCCCCACCCAGCCCCTAGCAACCACTGACCTGTTCTGTATCTCTATAGATTTGCCTTTTCTAGACTATCATCCATGGAATTTATAGACTTTATAGCCTTTTGAGCCTGGCTTCTTTCACCGAGCAATATTCATTTGAGATTCATATTGACGTGTGTATGTTGACATGTATTTTTCACTGCTGAGTAGTATTTGATAACATACTATAGTTTATTTATCCTCCACTTGGCTTATTTCTAATTCTGGGCAATTATAAATATAGCCTGTTTCATGTGCAGTTTTTCTTTGTGAACAGAAGCTTTCATTTCACTTGCATATTTACATAAGAGTACGATTGATGGGTCCTATAGTAAGTGCATGTTTAACTGTATAAAAAACTGCAAACCTGTTTTTCAAAGTTTTTATATTCACACTAGCAATGCACGAGAGTTCTGATTGTTCCAACTCTTCACCAGCAGTTGGTACTGTCAGTTTTTGTAAAAGTCATTCTATCCGGAGCCTGTGCTCTGCAACGGGAGAGGCCACAACAGTGAGAGGCCCGTGTACCGAAAAAAAAAAGTCATTCTAAAAGATGGGTAGCTGTATGGATAAGGCTTTTTTTTTTTTTTTTTTAATTTATTTATCGCTGTGTTGGGTCTTCGTTGCACGCAGGCTTTCTCTAGTTGCGGAGAGCGGGGGCTACTCTTCGTTGCAGTGCGCGGGCTTCTCATTGTGGTGGCTTCTCTTTGCTGCAGAGCACGGGCTCTAGGCGCGCGGGCTTCAGTAATTGTGGCACTCTGGCTCAGTAGTTGTGGTGTGCGGGCTTAGTTGCTTCGCAGCATGTGGGATCTTCCCAGACCAGGACTCGAACCCGTGTCCTCTGCATTGGCAGGTGGATTCTTAACCACTGTGCCACCAGGGAAGCCCCAGCTTTTTTATTTACAGATAATTGTAGATTCCTGTGCAGTTTAAGAAATAAAAAGAGAGATTCTGGGCTCCCCTGGTGGTGCAGTGGTTTAGAGTCTGCCTGCCGATGCAGGAGACACGGGTTCGTGCCCCGGTCCAGGAAGATCCCACATTCCACGGAGCGGCTAGGCCCGTGAGGCATGGCCGCTGAGCCTGCGCGTCTGGAGCCTGTGCTCCGCAACGGGAGAGGCCGCAACAGTGAGGGGCCCGCGTACCGCAAAAAAAAAAAAAAAAAGAGAGAGATTCCATACTGTTTCCCCCAGTTTCCCCCAGTGGTGACATCTTGCACAGCAACAGTCCAGATCACAACAAGGATATTGACATTGATACAATCCCCCCACCTTATTCAAAATGCTCAGTTTTATAAGCCCTCGTTGTGTGTGTGTGTGTGTGTGTGTGTGTGTGTGTGTGTGTGCGCGCGCGCGCGCGTGTGTGTGTATTTAGTTCTATGCAATTTTTACAATTTTATTTATTTATTTGGCCACATAGCCGGTTTATGGGATCTTAGTTCCCCGACCAGGGATCAAACCTGGGCCCCTGGCAGTGGAAGATCGGAGTCCTAACCACTGGACCGCCAGGGAATTCCATTCCCTCATTCTATGCAATTTTATCACATGTCCATTCCTATGACCACCACAGTCCAGATACAGAGCATTCATCACGAGGATGCTTCAAGCTAACCTTATACAGCCACACCCATCCCCTCCCTCCTGCCTTCCTAATCCCTGGCAACCATTCATCTGTTCTCCATCTGTATTACTTTGTCATGTCAGGGGTGTTGTATAGTAATTGGAATCATATACTATGTAACCTTCTGAGATTGGCTTTTTTCAGCTCAGCATCATTCTCTCTCTTTTTTTTACGGATGAAGAAATTTTATTTTTTATTTTTTAAAAAATATTTATTTATTATGGCTGCGCCGGGTCTTCACTGTGGCATGCAGGATCTTCACTGCAGCATGTGGGATCTTTTAGTTGTGGCATGTGGTCTCTTAGTTGCGGCATGCATGTGGGATCTAGTTCCTTGACCAGGGAATGAACCCGGAGCCCTTGCATTGTGGGGCATGGAGTCTTACCCACTGGACCACAAGAGAAGTCCCTTAACATCATTCTCTTGAGATCCATGCTGGTTGTTACAGGTGTTTGTTTTTTTGATTGCTGAGTAGCATTCCATGGATATACCTCAGTTTGTTTAATCCCTCATGTTGGAGGATATCTGGGTTATTTCCTATCTTTGGCTATTATGAATAAGGCCACTGTGAAGATTCCTGTCCTGGTTTTTGAGTGAACATAAGTTTTCATTTCTCTGGTATAGAAGCCCAAGGGCACAATTGCTGGGTCATATGGTAAGTGCCTGTTTAGGGTTTTTGTTTTTGTTTTTGTTTTAAATTAAGAAACTGCCATATTCTTTTCCAGAATGGCTGTACCATTTTATATTCCCACTAGCAATGTATAAGTGATCCAGTTTTTTTCTACATCCTCGCTGCCATCACTATTTTTTGTTTTAGCCATTCTGATCGGTGTGTAGCGATAT